AATCCTACTGCTTTTCCATTTCAAATGTTTTTTTATTTACTGTTTTCCATTCTTTTTTCTTAAATTAATAAATTACATTCTGTTTTGATTCTGTGGTTAGGTTAATCATATTCATGCTAATCACCTGCGCATAAATTAAAATGGCGTCAAACCACAAACCCACGCGGTGTCTGCAGCTGGATTTCGTCTTCAATTTTGTTCTCTCCTCGCTTCTTTTTTAATCCACCTTTGTGGTCCTTGACCCAAGCACAAAGGAATGATGTAAAAGCCAACTGGAGCGGTTCTCTGGTTTAAAAGATTAGAGGGGCCATAGAAGAAGGCGAAACAAAGAAGATAATTTTTGCAGAAATTTGAATTTGGGCCTATTTATGAAAAAAGCTCTCGCTACATTTCAGTCCACTTTAAAGGTACCAGGAGAATCACACAGTGAAGGAGAGCTCATCTAAGCCATTTATAAGGCTGTACAATGTAAGATAAAAGAGTTATAAGTGTTTGAAAATCAAAAATGGCCACCATCTTGAAAAACCAACCTAAATCCTACATATAGGCTACTGCCTATATATTAAATGTAATCCATTTAATGTACGGACACGAGACAATGCAACATATGCCATACCTTCCCCAAAAACATCACTTGATAATCAATAATGGCTGTATCTAGTGTGAGGCCCTGACATTAATGTATAGTATTATTATTATTATTATGCAAAAATAATGATGCTTTCAAAAATCGAAACCTAAAAAAGACATAAATACTTCTAGTTTTACTAAAAATAAATAACAAAAAATGATAGAAACCCAGTACTCAACACTTATTTGCTTGGAAATGATTAGTAGCAACATTCTTCAAATACAAAGCAGGTGTATTAGTATCACAAGGAATGCCATATGAAGTTTGGCTTCCATATCTAGCCCAGCCAACAAAAGTGGGATTAAGTGTATATGAATGTACAGATATAGCTGACATTGCAGTAAGTGTAATAATCTTTGTGTCGGTGGCCCACACATTGTTCCAATACATTATTGACTTATTCAGTCTGATATGCCTGAATATCTGGTTGAACTTAATGTACTATGAAGCAATTGTGACCATAATTGACAAGGTACCTTATGGCGGATAGGAAAATTGGTCTTTACAGCCTAAAAAATCCACCTTCTTGAGCTCCATTAATCATATAATTACTCCAGAGGATGCAAAAATTTACTATGTAACTTCTAGAAACAATGGTTGTCTAACAGAGCACTCACAGGTTGATATTTTTCATTATAATGATGAATTTAGAAATCCGCCATAAGGTACCTTTTGTCAATTATTGTCACAATTTTTCAAATTTTGGCATATTACTAACAATTGCTTTGTGTAATTCGTAATGCTGAGAAATGGACCTAATATGAGATATAAAACGGCATAAAATAAACATTTTCCATCACCAGGATCATCACGAGTACTATGAACTCTTTTATTTGACAATGGTGTTCATTGACTTCCAGGTAAGATTGTAGCAGCTCTTACAAATTTAAGTTTTGAAATCTCACCATTTTTGAGGTTCTTCAGTTCCAGGGAAATAAACAATCCCATTGTGTCCTCACATTATCTGGATTGAAAGGCTCTTCATAAGTAAAGAGGACAGCATCTTTTTTGCATTACTTGTCTTTAATTTAATCCTTGAGAGTCAAATCAGAGTACATCTACAATGGTCATTTTTTTACAACACACTTGGTTTCATCATCTTTTGGCTTGCATTTAATGTTAGGGAGTTTTAAAGATACAAGATGATGAGTGTAATCTGGGGGTAAGAAGAATGAGCAAACTGGTACTGCATAAAAAGTAACCATGCTTTATATTCAGATGCCTTGTAAAAAGACAATATTTATAGATTGCAGCATTTGTTGAATTTCAAGTGGAGGCTTTACTCACTCAAGAACACAGGCTATGTGTTTGCTCCGGCTGTAATGTTCAGAATGACAACTGGAATCTAACCATAGTTCATTTTTACTTTTGTATATTATTTTTACATTCTATATGCCTTTTTGGGTTTGGCTATCTTATTTAGCGCAATTTTAAAATTCGTAAATTTGAAATTTTGATTGGAATTAGCTAAAAACTGTCTACACAACATGACAATATGTACAATGTATGTCAATAGGAAAACATTTTTAAAACTGATAATTCTTTACTAAGAATTTTTGGCAAAATTTGGCAAAACCCCTGTAGTATAGTACAGGGACTTTGACCAAATTGTTAATAACTTTAAAAATTTATAAGTCTATATTCAATTGAAACGAACTCAAACTTGCTACACAAGATGAGAACATGTATAATTATGTATTACGATGTTCCATATACACAATTAAAATCAGACTTAAATAAAAACCATCCTCTCTCTCTCTCTCTTTCTCACCTGAGCAATGGCCCATGTCACCAAAGGTGCACAAGCTTTACTAGCGTCGTTAACCGCCTCAAAGTTATACTCCTTATCTGATGTAATCTCTCATCATCTTATTTCTAGCATCACCAGTAATGCCTTTGGCAGGGAAGTTAGCAATGGTAGGAATAAAGTTTTCGTCTTACAATGTCTGATACACATTCCAATCTGTGTAAAGTTCTCTTAATAACTTGTTGATGCTTTCCAGTGCCATTTTTATGACCTGATGGTAATTATTCAGAGGCCACACATTAACCTGATGGGATTTCTAAATTCCTTTCGCAGCTGCAAAAAGGAATAGCAATAATAATAATAGTAATAGTAAATCCTAAAAACAATTATAATAATCGGCTTATGCTTCTGTCACTAAGAAGTCTGTCCTGGAGGTATTACAATCTAAACATCCAAATCCCAATCCACCTCATTCCATTTCATTACTCTATGCTGATGATCTACCACTTTTTGAGGAAATTTAGATTACTGGTGGTCACATTTATAAGGTGATTATTGGTATGCAGGGAGATTCTAGCTCCAGACAGAAGTCAATCCAAGCATTGGTCTGATGTTTTGTTTTATTATGGGCCTCATAGCACTCATCTCCGTGACGCAGTGGCGTCCTTCACTTGTACAATGGCTAACGGTGTTCTACCTTGATTTATAAATACAGGTCTACTTGCTAATGGATTCATGGCTTTGGATAAATACCCTGGAGTTAGAGCAATGATTGGTATTGGAAAAACTTTAAGGAGTTATCGGTAAAGCTGTATGCTTCATTACTCGAGATGATGGTGAAGTGGCTTGTGGTACTGACCAGTTGTGTGCAGGTATGGAAAAGGGTATTGAAGCCACGTTCCACTTTGCCAGGAAACTATATCAGTCTTTTAAAACTGCTGACTGGGGTTGGTTGACCATAAATACATGTAATGTTTTCAATTTGATCAACTAATATCACTACTATGAAATGTTCAGATCCTTTTGCCAAGGGATCCCTGTTTCCTTCTTCATACCTATCGGGGCTGGTCCATGTTGATCTTGAGAGGTACTGATGAGCATTTCTTTAATTGTGAAGTGTGACCCAGGGGGACTATTGGATCTCTTCCACTTATTCATTTACTGAAGGATTCCTCTAAGTTTTATTCTGTTGTAGTATGCTGATGACTCTTGTGCCACTGTAGCTCTATCCTCTTTTTGGTCTTTGCTTGATCAACTAAATGCTGTAGGACCAATATTTGGCTACTATCCTGAACCATTGAAATGTCATTTACTTGTGGTGAATGTAAATAAAGCATGTGATTTATTTGCTGATACGGGGGTCACTGTTTCTATTCATGAAAAGGTTGTATTATTGATAGGAAGCGATTCTTTTCTTGCTACAACATGGTGTAAATACATAAATTTATCATCATCAACTTGTCCCTCAGCCTCAGTAATCAAACATCGCACTCTCTAAATGTATTGAATGTGAATAGATTTATGTACAAAGAATAACAAGTAACTATGGTTGACTGTTTCATAATGTGGAACATGCTCTTTCCGACTCTTTCCTCTCCTTTTAGCTGCCAAATTTATGATTCTGAGAGGAGGTTTATGTCTGTCCCTGTTGGCATGGGTGGTCAAAGTACCCTCTGAAACCTATTCATGATGTCTCCTACAATGCCTCTTGTGAGGCAACTTCCTACTTAGTAAATGAGCAGAGTGTCATTGAGTCTGAGGCCCATATTAATTGCATATATTTTTCTAGACAAGCCTCACTTAAACAAGAAGGTGCACTATAAAACCATTCACGCAACGTCATGAAATCGCTTCCGTCGATCACAGTATAAAAGGAGGTGCCCTGGGCACAATATGGCGGCCAGATTGAATGAAATTTGAAAATAACAAAATAGCTTCCGCACTGGCACTGTTCTTATCATGGCTAAATCACTAGCAAAACGCATTATAAAAACATTAAAATTAGCAAAGTTGAGAGAGTTAACCTACAAGCACACCTAGAAAGCATAGCAAGGAGAGAAATGGTATAATTGACTTGAAGTAATAATTTTGCATTATTATCAAATATTATTGTATATTCTGAAAAATCTGCCAACAGCCTAAGAAACACGGGCAATGATGCTGTCAGGCAGGTAATAAGTGATAGTATAAGTGGTTCCAGCAAAAGACCCCAACATGGTCCTCATTCAGATGCTAGTACTGGTAGCAGTTGTAACATTCAACGATCTACTGGAAGAAGTAAATGCAAAAATGTTATTCTAAATTTTTAAAAATACAAACATTATGTATATAGGGTTGAATAGATATTGGGATGGTGAGGAGCCTCCTGTATTTGTGTACCTCTTCCCAACTGTGCCCAGTGATGCCGACAAAAATATGGCAGTACTGTGATGGTAATATACCAGTACAAGAAAAATGCTAGTACGAGCCTAAAAATATTAATGCCACCATATGATTACTTTACATTACAAATAATACTTACTTCTGTATCTAGTAACTAATAAACTTGAGTTACGATTACAGTACTCACAACTGGGATTGAATCGAAATTCAGCACAAATCACATGACGATCTAAAATTATGAATAGTTTTGATGATGTTGATAATAATAGTAATAATAATAATAATACTAACAAAGAATACCTGTCTGTAACTGATCATGCTTCGGTCAACCATACCACACTAACCATGTTAATGTATGTTTCCCAACAGCCGATCCTATATCTATGCACAAATGGCTGCTCTTCGTTCCCATCACCCATACCTTATTTATATATAATCACTAATTTAAACACATTATAACTACCTGAAGTATTGAGCATAGCAGAAGAACTACTAGTATCATGTGATAGAGCCTCAGAATGATTCTCTTTTAAAACTAAATCGGCGAGTAAATGAGACAGCAGTTCCAGCGCCTTCTTTTAGTGCCTAAAGACCCCTTAACTCGATCAAGCCTAACTAGAACTGGTCCTTGTCTTCTTTGAGAGTAAAATGGAAGTCCATTTGGTACCAAAACCCCTTTCTTCCTGCATTTTTCCTTGAAGAAGCAACACCATCTAGAGCCGACATTTTTACACGTGAATAAAACGGAAGCCACCATGCCCAGGGCCCCGCCTTTTATACCGCACCTTCTCGTTTAAGGAATGCGATGAGAGAAATGAATGCATATTCAGCTCCATACTATCAGGGGTTTCTGACCCTTCTAGGAGATTTTGTTTAGAGCCAGGGAGACCTTGTTCCCTTTGTTGGTTTCCCCCCAATTAAGAAACGTGATTTGATTTGTCAGCTGTGGAATTCAGAGACAGG